ATAGATAAACAGAAACACAGTGGTATTCATTCTCACACGAACAATGCATCTCACAGGAATAAAGTAATTACAGATTCCACGACTGACTAAATGAAAACAGCTTTTTATCATTTCCATACAAGGCAACGCTTCACTTCAGCTGAAAGGATGCAAATGAATATGGAGTACTTGTTCTGTCGCAGCTATGTGATAAAATACAGCATATGCTTCAACCTGACAAAGAGATGTGTTAACACTCAGCTGCAGCCTGCAGGTATGAATGAAAACCATTACGAGCATCAAACACTTGGCAGTATGCTCAAACTTCGGTTTGAACTAATGCAAATTCATTTGCATTGATTTTACCATGCAAATACTCCACGACAGGCCATATCAAAATACAAGTCTTGTGTAACATGTTCCTAAAAATAGCCATGTGAGCTTTCAGAAAGGCTTCAAATGGCTGTCTAGCTTTGAAAGAAAAATGATTCCCACAAACAAAGAAACCCGAGTTCATTGAGGGACTTTTTGTGCCAATGACATTTGTATTTGCTTTCTGTAACATCATTGTTTAACATTTTAATATGAAGGCCTATAAATAAGAAAAGGAGGCCTCGCCTTGGGAGAAATCCATCAAAATTCAATCTGTACGTACACAAAGCCTTGCATTTGTCAAAATGACATTTTCCTATCTCCGCATTTGACAGCATTGATTTTCTCCTTCCCTCCTCTCTGCTACCGTTGTCAATGCTCGGGTGGAATAACAAAGGGAGCTGGGTAGGTTTTCTGTTTGAACGGAGCACTCCGGCGTATTGTGCATCTGACTGTAGAAACAGAAAGATGGTCTATTTAACTTGCTTGTTATGCATCGACTGTAATTACCACAATAGCACACGGGACTGGGAGGGAAGAGAACAGATAAAGGAAATGAGAGAACATGCTTTTTCTTAGATGTCTTGTCATTAGCAATTTCTTTTTCTTAATTCCCCTCTATTTGGCAGGGACAATTATCACTGAGATAAGGATGACAAAACAGGAACACAATGCAGCCTCAATGACACATCGATGGCATGGCAATTAGACAACAAGGCTGAAAGCGGGAGACAAATTGGAACTGATGTTCACAATAACATGCTGATGACCGAGCACTGAAGCGTACACACACACACACACACACACACACACACACACACACACACACGGACACACACACACACACACACACACACACACACACACACACACACACACACACACACGGACACACGGACACCACACACACACACACACGCACGCGCACACACACACACACACACACACACACACACCACACACACACACACACACATATCGACAGTTAGCCGTTAATCTTGCAGATCAAGGGCATTCAGAATACACAATGTAACCACAACTACCCGTTTAATTCTTCCTCAATCCACGCTATCTCTCATTACTTTCAACGCCTCTTCGGCACCCATACAGTACAACTTCAATAACGGCAGCTGTAGAGCAAAGTCAATATTAGCCAAGGGATAAAATATAGAAGGACAGCAGCTCGCGTGAATAAGGCACAAAACTATTTCCTCTCCAACTGTACTGCTGCTCAAATGTGACTATTTTCAGTCGTTTCCTGTGATACAGGTGCTGGTGTGAATTTAGCCTCAGGTTAACTGCAGTCACTCAGAGCCACATCTCCTTTTTCCTTTTTAAAAATGTCTCTTGAATGGAGAAATCTTTCATACAGTAGATGTATTATTAAATGTGTTACAGCTGAGACGATTAGTAGATATATTGATAATCTGCGACCATTTTTAGTATCAATAAACTATCAGTAATTACTTTAAAGCTGAAATATTGAGAAATACCTAAATTAAATGAAGCTTTGATTGGATTTTATTAACTGTTTTTGACATTTCAACTGAATAAAAAACTGATACATTGAAATTAAACAACAACAGATAAATCCCTAAAGACAATAATTGTTCATTTGCTGCCCTGAATGTTAAAAAAAGCGTAATTTATGTAACTTTAAAGCAAAATCACAAACTGAGTCTGGTTCCAGCCTCTCAAATACAAGCATTACATATATTCTTTCTTTTTTATTATCCTAAAGTGAATATCTAGTGATTATTCTGGGTGTTTAGCTTCAGATGAGCACCTTTGCTGTACGATGTTTTATTAATAAAAACCCTGGAGTGAAATATAAATGCAGCATGAGAGTGAGGCAAACAAGAGGAACCGTGATAAACCAGCATTCATATTTCTAGGTTTAAAATATGTTACGAGGCATTCGAGGGTAGACGCTGATTGACTGATTTTTAAGGGGTTTATTTCTCTCTGCTGGGCTGTAAAGATTCACAACTGCAGTCAATAAGAAAAGCAGCTATTAGGTGTAGAGTAATGTACATAAATAGTCCATGTTGAAATTCAGATTTTTTTGGAGGTGAATCAAATGGATATTTAAGCGGTGCAGCCAACAAAGCATGGGGTAGTTTCGCTAAATCGCACAACCATCTGTTGCTTTGTTAAACTCTGGAGAACTTCATAAAACGATTATTACTCAAAGGCAACTAAAATAACACAATTTCAATTTCCATTACAGGAAAGCGAGTCCTTTGATCTTTTAAAGCATTTGTAGCGAGTTAAAAGGGAAGAATATGAAAACAGCGCCTGATTACATCTAAGGGTTTGTTGTATTAATTATGATGTGTTTTTCCTTTTTTCCCCGCTCCTCTTTACAAGTGCTGATGTGTGCTCGCTGCCAAGGACGAAGTTTAAACAGCATGATTTCACCATTTAATGAGCGCCCTGCTTATGATGTGTCTGGTTTTGAGATGCAAAGCATGTACTGTATGTAAAACAGTTGGCGCGTGCACCTCGACTTTATTCTGATCTCAAACCGAGAAATGCCAACTAAAAGTAAAACATATTGGGTATTGAATTCTCCCTCCCTCCCTCCGTCTGTCTAACAGTCTACCTCCCTCCCTGCCACTATCTCCCTCCACAACAATGACCTATTTAAGCAACAACATGTCTGCAGTTAAGATGACAGGATTGTCAAAATACCGCGGTGAGGTTAGCAGAGTCGAGGCGGCCACAGCTTACCTTCATGTAATAGTTTAGAGTAATGAGTTTTACTGTGCTGTAAACTGTCACTATTAAATTCAGCCGACATCGCTCTCCCTCCCCTGCCTCTCGTTAATTTGCCTGTGTTGTCTCGCTACAATCTGATGTGAGTAGCTACATCTTTCTTGGCTCATTTGACATGAACACAAATGTGAATCCTTCCTTCAACTGAAAAAGTACATTTTTAAAACCCACAGTTTGAGGTGAGAGCCCACGTTCCCATGTGTCTTGCACAGAGATGAAACACATAACACAAATTCACTGAGCACAGTTTCAAGAGAAAAAAGCTCATCTTTTTAAGATGTTTACGTGCACGCTTCTCCTCTCTGTCCCGTGCACACCGGGTGCAAGCTAAGCATCCAACCTATATTGAAACATCTTTCATCTCGGGCAGACGTGTTTCGCATGCATGTGATGTTCTTGAATATTGTTAGAGGACGTTCTTGGCCTTCACAGGAAACCCCTTTGACAACTGTGAGAAGATATTCTCCTCTGATATAAAAGCAAGTCAAAATAGGCTCCGACAGGAAGCTTCAAACCACAAACCACAAAATGTTATTTTTCTCATCAAGGACAATTATTCCTCTGGTTTATTATCACTGCAGATTGAATGTGTGTTTTAGAGTTTAACAGCAGTGTAATTTAGGGATTTTGGGCATGGAGCCTGCAGTAGTTGGCAGCCATTTTCTCTTCTCTACTAATTCTAGTTAGGACACAGTCTGCCCTTGACTTGAATGCAAAGCAGTACTTGTTTTTTCTTCTGATCACAACATGGGGGAACTATAGATAACGTGCACAGAGATTTAAATCCACAATGGGGTTTTACGCGCTTATCTTACTATCGTGTTTGACTTTTACAGAGCGCAGTTTCACTCTGTTATCTAAACTAACAAATACTTTCTTTTCTCAAAGGCACAAGACATTTTAAAGTCAAATAATATGCGGTTGGGACTCTTTGCATTTAGAATGTGTTGGTACTTTTCACACCCATTCCTACATGTTTTACTGTAATACTTCAAGCAGCCTGCTAAACTTTCCCCACTGGTGATGCTTATGACCTAAATATCCAAAATACCCGTATCCTCACAAACTTTGCTATTAGGCCACGGAGTCCAAACTATAGCACTCCACGGTTTAAACATTGCCAGTGAGGGAATAAGTTGTCCTACTCACTCTGTTTGAAGCCGAGGAAGGGGATCCTCTCTATGGGCGTGTCTCTTTCTTTCATGTACTTGTAGAGCTCGACTAAGAACGCTTGCTCCTCCGCTCGGCTCTCCTCCGATGTTTCCTCCTCGTCATTATCATCTGTCTCGTCCCTCTCCTCCTTTTCCTTTTCCCTTTCCTTCCCTCTTTCCTTCTCTTCTGCTGAGTATTTCCTGCTGAGGCTGTTGGCCTTGTGTCTGGCTGAAAGCTTTCCGTTGGGTACTGTTTTACAGCTGGGTTTGACCTACAACAGAGAGGGAGAGAGAGAGCGGGAAATCAGATGAAAATGATAACCTTTTAACAGAGTGCTATTCAAATGATGTCAGACACTGTGGATGAGATGTGTCTGTGTTAAAGAAAAGAAAAATATACTTCATGTCCACGGAGACAGTCTGTCATTGATGATCAATGCAGCCGCTCTTCTTGTCATCACAGATTAGTTTGATTCTAGCTTCGAGAGAGAAATGCTAATATTGTTTTATTTGTCCAAGTTCACAGGAATACCAGCAGTGATGGATATTTCCTTCACTTTGAATATTATAACCAATGTTGGATAAAAAAGGTATGACGTCGTCTTGGACTTAATGGCACATTTAACACTGTATTAATAATCATGGAGAATATAATACGCAGATTATACAATAATGAGAATAATTGTTAGCCCTATATCACTATATGTCAGACATTTATAAGAAGACCTTTAAGGGATCTAATCAAGTAAAACAATCCCATATACAAATTGTTTCATGTTGTTACACTAGACAAGTACAACTGTGTCATATTCAGTTAAAATAAGGGTATGGTTGTCACAGACACATTGCTACATATTTTACTACATGTACTGTATGTGCTGTAACATTGCAATCCTGCTGTGTCTCTCAAAGTGAAATAGTTGTGGAATTAAAATACAGATGTACTACAAATATAATATGGAAAGCATCCAGCTGGCAACACAAGGTAAGGTGTGATATGTAATAACTGCAGAGCTAGTGCACAAAAGAGGACTGTTACTGTTTAAAACTCTTGTTAAATGAATGTTATGTAACACCTCTTATCACCCTCTGTCTGAAACCAGAGCCCAGTCTACTCTGATTGGCTAGCTGGCTGGCTCTGTTGTGATTTGTTAACCGCTTAGAGATGTCCCGCCCCTTAACCTATGATGTACGTTCTGTTGGAGCGCTAGCCAATAGAAGCGAGGGTGTTACATTGTGATATCACTATGTTGTGGGAGTAAACAAACGTTGGGATGTTGGCCTTTGCAGACCATTTACATTCACAAAAACCTATTTACCACACGGGGAAACCCCCCAAAAGCATAATGGGGCCCCTTTAATATTTTATTTAACTAAAATGTTATTGTTTTTATTGAATGACAATATTTTTGTATCTCTTGTCAAACCTCTGTTGGGCAGTGGGATGTGAAAATATCATTTAATATTTTAATGTTGTCCTCTCTTACCTTGGTAGTAACTTTGCTTTCCGGACTGCAGAGCTCTAGCGCTGCCACGGCTGCCGACCCTGGGGTGAACCCTGACGACCCTGACGACCCCTGACCCTGAGCCAGGCCCTGGGAGTCCCTCCTCTGAGAGATGGACAGCTTCTTCTTCCGAGGTCGCCCCTTCAGGTTAGGCGCTGAGGAAGAGGAAACGGTGACAATGAGGATAACAATTTGGGTGGAAACATGTGCGATGATCCAGCTCTGTGATGAAATCATGACGTGTTTTCACCTCCTTGTTGCCAACATTTGGTTCAATTTGACGTTTTTATCTTTTGAAATAGTATTAACAGGAAGAATATAATTGTTTATAGCCAGAAATGCCTGGGAAAATGTTCTGTTAGCTGAGGAGGACGGGGGCTATGACAGGAACTTTAACAATCAGGGAAAGGAATTTCACAGGCCTGTAGCTAATTATTTTTAAACTGGATTAGTGCAACATTGTGCTGAATGGGGTAGCAGGCTGCCAAATTGCTCCACTGTTTTAGCAAACACAATCCTCAAGTTCCCTCTCAGGCTAAAAGAGAAGCTACATTTAAATTCAGACAGATGTATTTTCAAGATTTGAGATAAGGGCGTCGTTACATCAAGCAATTAGTCAAATACAGTAAATGACAGATGCTGTTTAACCCACAAAACCACAGAAAGGAAACAAAACGTTTTTGCTGTGAGAATATGTGTTACATATGCCACAAAAACTGACCACAACAACATATATATTGTCTTGTTTCTTTACAGCAGGACTGTCCCACTCCCAACTGTCATCTCATCATCGCTATAATGAAGAGTTATTTAATACTAAAGCAACTCAGATGTACAGATAATCATGGCTTTATTTCTCTGGTTAGCTCATGTCTTAAAGCTGAACGCTGTTAATTAAAAACACATGAACCTGCCTTATAGGAGTTCTTTGTTTGAAAGGCTGGCAGATATAATTGCTCAGTTCACATTACACACACAATAAAGTATTTAAGACCTCCAAGTCCTTTGTACACCCACGTTTATGTCAACCCGCGACTGTAATGTAACTTCTTGGCAGATTGCCTTGCATCCACGCAGCAACACAAACAGAGATAAACTCAAAGGAGAGAGAGAAAGAGAAAACAAAAACTTCAAATAATCCAAGTTCAGTCACGTATTTCACAGCGTCAACATTCTTTCTTTCCATCTGCAATGACAATTAAATCACATCCAAGGTTGTTCTGTGCCAAAAGCACTCTTTGATTATTTTTGTCGGATCAAATTCCCATCAGGAAAATGTTACATTAACACTGGAGCTGAATAAAACTAAGAGGCAGTCATTAAAAAGGGTAAAATGATCATAACTCAACAACCTATCACTTCATGTTGTTATTTTCACAACCGCGATGCTGTGGAGAAACAGTGCAGGGAAAATTCCAAGGACATTTGTTGTGCATTTGTCATCCCTCTGGCACTAAAAAAACAAGTTTTCAACACAGTAATCTTTACTGAGAAAGCACTGGGTGTGTTTTCTTCCGTCAATGTTTTTCTATTTCTGCTGTTCGCTCTGCCTCTTTGATTCTGCCAATTACTCATTAATGCTGAGAAATTACATAAACCCTATTATTTATTTATTTCTGAAGGGAGAGAAACACAAGCACATAATATTCACTGGAAAGACTAATGCCACATATCATAGCATATACAGCCTGGCAATGTTACAGCGTCTGTAGAGAAACCCATCTGTATTTAAACACAAACCAGAAATAGATGCCACATTACAATAAATGTGCTTTTCAACTAAAGTCTGGAGAAAAGTAAGTGATGACAACATGCCAGACATGTACACTGCATATAAAAGAACACATGCAATCACACAAACTGAAACATTATGTGACATTTGGGAGGTTTGACTCGATGGATATTTATTCTTCAACATGTGACATCAGTTTAAACAAACGACGCAAAGGTCTGAGTGAGGTCACACTCTCAGTGCGGTTCTGTTCTTAGTCCAATCACAAACCCCCCTGACACCCTACACCGAGTTACATAGCCTGCCTGTCTGTGTACATATTTCATCAGGTTAAATACTGCTGCGTAAGAAAATGCTGCAATTACAGCAAAACACTGCTGCATAAAACATGGTGACACGACAGCGAGCAGGTTAAAATGCATCCACTTATTGATAAAGGACAAACTTAAACAACATAAGTGGAATATTACTGTAAACTGAAATGGTGCATTCATGTACTTTTGTAAACAGAAAAAGGCACACAAGGTCAGGCGAGCTTTCCAGGCTGCAGAAGTCGAGCAGAAGTGCTGATGTGCTCTCCTCGATGCACAGTTGCATAAGGGAGGAGTCATCAGCTTTAGAATAACACCAAGAAAATCAAACACGGACCAACTCTCTGCAGATTGATTTTTTCTAGAATGGAAACAGTGTTTTATAGTCTGCAACAAAAAAAGCCAACATCACGAGGTAATGATTTTACAGCACCCAGGGAGATGTGGTATTTTTACCACTCTGTGGGCATTGAGTGTTTTTGTCAATGTACAAAAGAAGAGACAATTTAAGTATACAAGATACTTCCCTCTATAATCCAAAAATGGGCACAATAGTCATGCACCAAAATTGAATTCTGACCAAGCTGCCAAATAGTTTAGCTTCTCACTGAGTTACTTATTTCTTAGTCTGTCGTTGACATGTCTTGGAGATGAGCCTTGAAGTGACAGGAAGACTCTTTCCACACGCACACACACACACACACGCACACACACACACACACACACACACACACACACACACACACACACACACACACACACACACACACACACACCACAACACACCACTACACACACACACACACACACACCACACACACACACACACACACACACACACACACACACACACACACACACACACACACACACACACACACACACACACACACACACACACACACACACACACACACACACACACACACACACACACACACACACACACACACACACCACACACAACACACACACACACACACACACACACACACACACACACACACACCACAGGTAAGGGGTGTTCCCAGGGGTGTGAATCCATCACGTCTTGTCACAGAGCACAAACCCCCGAGTCACGAAAGTCACAGCGACGTCAGCAGCAAGATGCACAGCCCGACTATTTGATCCCTGAACGCTCGCAGCCGTTAACAGCTTTACAACCCGACTTTGTCTCTTAATTCCCCCCTCCTCAGATTCAATTAAATACAGCCCTAATACCTCTGTTTCACTGCCATTCACTTGATGTCAATGATAATGAAAAACTCATTAGAGGCGGCTCAGGAAGGGTTCTGACGCTTCTATGCATCAACAGCGAGGAGCCACAGGGAAACACAACAAAATGGCCTGATTGATTGAGAGGCTGCTGGGAACCGAGAGACATATCAAGCTGGCTGGAGAATTTAACTGATGGATGCCTTGGTTGATAACGCTCTCTCAAAATTGACTGAGAAAAAAAAAGCTCAATATTTACATGTGTACAACGATTGTCTCTTTGAAAGTGGGGCGGTTGCACAAATCCTCTTTGAATCAGATGGACTGATTATTGCTCTAATGGTGAGCATCATTTTTGTATTTAATTGGCAAATGGAAATTAAAGAAGTACTTGTATTTAATAAGTTTAGCAGGCATCTCATCCTTTCATTTGGAATTTTGGAAAATGACTGAAATAATCTGTCGCAGCTACAGATGGTGTGCAGTGGTTTCTTATTTTTAGCCACACTAGCGGTTTGGGTTAAGAGACGGTACTTTTGGTTGTTTGGTCGCTCCACCACTTTGGCCAAACTGAAATATCAACTGCAACGTTTTGTAAAAATATTCATGTTTCCTCATAACATGTTCTGACTTTGTTGATTCCCTGACTTTTGCTTAAGTAACAACATGAGGTAGTTTGAGAGAGTTTGGTTCAGATATTCATGGTTCTTTAGATATAAACAGTTATCTGGATATACTCTGACAACTCAGTATAAGGTCTTTATTTACGTATAAATAATAAACAAAAGGTTTTCCAGGTACATTTCCTGTCATTTTTGTCAAGTGCTATTAGGAACTCTTATCAGGCGAATATGCTAATCTAAGATAGTTAACATGTTGGCATTTATGTCAAAACTCAACCGGTGCAGCCCCGCAGAGCTGCTACAGTAGCATGACTCATATTCTTGTTAAATTGTAACAAATTAAGGACAGCAGGGACTGATATTTAGCAGTAATCAAATTATGTAAATGAGTCTGTTAATCGTTTAATGGGAATTCATAAAGGTCAGGCTGAAATAAATCGCTTATACAGTTGAGTGTAAAAGTTACTAATGACAGAAAACATCATATTATAAAACCTGCTGAGCTATTAAAAAAACCCATTTATTCAATCAGGAGTATTTCAAATAGGATCATTTTCAGAACTGATCTATCTATCTGCCCTTTCTAGATGAAACCCCCACTCGAAGTCTTAATTCAGCAGTTGAACTTCAACTTCCTCTCTCTATAATGAGGTCCAAGTTCAGGCTGAGAGGTGAGAGGTGAGGGAGGAGGAGGAGGAGGAGGGTGAGTGAGTATGACTAGAACAAGTGGAAGGTGAAAAACATGTTTTGACATACTTTGTCGTCTCACTTGGTTGCAAATTTACTAAATGCCTGACACCCCCTGGGCAATTATCAGCAAAACTCGCTGCCAAAGGTAACATTCATGTTGCAATACGGGGCCTTGTCTGTACAGTATGACCCTGAGGATATAAAAGAATCCAAAACAATACAGTACATGTGTTTTTAATCAAACTATGTTTCTATGTCAACAAGTTGTGTCTCACCGAGGATACAAATGAAAGAGGGAGGAGGCCAAAAGGGCAGGGAAATAAAATAATTCTGTTAATAAATGTTAAAACATATATTTATAGCAAATAAAGTGTTAATAACCTTTAAGCAGCACAGAGATATTGACAAGTAGAGTTACAATCCACACTGTTTTAATTCATATGAACTCTCCAAGAGACAGTCCATTTAAAAGCTGTCCTTAATGAGTTGCATGGTAAAAGGGCAGATTGCTTAAATGATTTTGAACCAAACACAGCGTAAAATCTTCTGTAAAACATAATACGAGTCAGACCACGTGACCAAAG